GGGGGGGCCCCTTCCCGCCCCCCCCCCCCCCCCACATTGTATGGGGCTTCTCGGTCAGGAGTGCGGTGGCACTCTCTATTTGACCAGAAGCTCAGCAAGGCGCATGGAGGGAGAGCTTCATAGTGCCCAGCTGCAGCGATGTTCTCACTGAGAGTGGTAGTCCAAGAAAGGTGGTAGCTGGTCACCAGAGGACTCAGTGGAGTAGAGAACTTCTGGGAACCTGCAGGATGCGGTGGCAGTGGTGTTGTCAACAACTGCACAGTGCTCACTTCACTAAATCACTTCAGATTTTTTTCCATCTGTAATGTAGCCTATAATCTGTACAATTCAATTAAATTGTATAAAAATAAATAAATTGGGATAAAAATAAAAAAAACTTTGCAATACCGTAATAATGTGGTTGCATAAATATGCACATCCGTAAACTAATATTTTGTTGAAGCACCTTATGCTTTTATGACAGCATTTAGCCTTTTGGAGTAGGAGTCTATCAGCATGGCACATCTTGCCTTGGGAATCTTTGCCCACACTTTCTTGAACACCAAATCTGTCAGATTGGAAGGCCATCTCCTGTACACATCGATCTGTAGGTCACCCCACAGATTTTCAGTTGCATTCCAAAACTTTGATCTTCTTCTGGTAAAGCCATTCTTTTCTTGATTTGGAGGTATGCTTTGGGTTATTGTCATGCTGAAAGGTTAAATTCCTCTTCATCGCAGCTTTATAGCAGAGGCCGGAAGGTTTTGTGCCAAAATTGACTGATATTTCGAACTGTTCATAAGTCCCTCCACCTTGACTAAAGCCCCAGTTCCAGCTGAAGAAAAACAGCCCCGAAGCATAATGCTGCCACCACCATGCTTCACTGTGGTTGTTTTTTGTGATGCGCAGTGTTGTTTTTGCGCCAAACATACTTTTTGTTAACAAACACTGGCTTATCAATTATATCAAGCTGTCATTATGAATGGCTGTCACTGTGACTGCTTGATAACTTAAAATAATTTTTGGTTATTATTAGGCTGCCAAAAACTCGGACAGATTAGAAGCCTGAAATGGGCAGCTTTCAGCTTTTGCTATATGCTTCCACGCTGAAGCATTCAGCAAAAAGCCAGTACACATTGGGTTTTGGTAATCCCGATGTGTACGGCTGCCTAACAGTGATTCATAGGAGTGCAGTGTGTTCCGCACTTCTTATCAATGTCAGACATCCAATCACTGGTCTCAGTGATTACCAGCATTCTGGATCCCTGAGTCATTTGGTCACTTAATGACGGGGACGTACAGTGTACGTCTCCCATCACTAAGGGGTTAAAGTCAACCTTACATGAGTGAACCCGCTTATAAGGTAACAGAATTGTAGGCACTGCACGGTATTTGAAAGTGCCTGTTTACTTCTTAGATTGGTCCCTGTGTCCCTTCGGAGCTCCCTTGACCCCGGCTGTACATGGGACCTTGTGCCCACGTGGAGATTAAGCCGAGCTGCTTATCAATCAACTGTCAAGATTCAGAAATTCAGTGGGAAGCAGAGGCTCTGGCATTTGACAGTTGAATGACATGGGCAGGGCTTGGCTTTAAAATGGGAAAGTCTTCATCTAAATTTCAGCAGAAATTAAAGCCCCATGTACAGCTTGGACCTAGAATCCAAAGGTGTTGCACAGTGATCCATTTGAAGACTAACACAGATTAGCCTGCACTTCCTAACTTTTGCTACCTAGAAATATTTAAGGCCACGCCAGGTACCCTTTAGAGTATAATTTTGCAAACAACCATTGCAGAAAACTGAAAATTATCAAAAATTAATAATTCTGTTGAGCAGTCATTTGCAATCACATGTTTTGTGATGGCACAGGTATTTACAATATTAGAGAAAATAGAGAAAATAAAATAGGCTGTAACTGCAGGTTATCATATAAATGTACATAGACCTTATTGTAACAGTAGAAATAATAGTGGCAGTTGTGATTGTACTTTGTAATGGATCCACTGACAAAGTTGTTTTGACAAGAGATTTGCATTAAATAGATCTTAAATACAGTACGGAACAATTTAAGTGAATGTCAATTAGGTTTCTGAGCATACTTTCTTCATCTTCTAATACTTTTCTCTAAAATGATGGCATGTTCAGACAAAAAAGATAAAGCATCAGTCTGAGTAAAATCAAGATAATAAAGCTCCCCTTGCCTTGTTGCAGCAAAAGCAGTACATTAAATATTCATTGTAAATACTTATTTGATTCCTTAAGAGGCTAGTCATTGTAAGAAAACCCTACATTTGTTTTGATTTTGAGACACGCCCGATCATTTTAAGAATATTAAGTCATTTTGAATTCTAATTGACATTTTAAGGACAATAAGTTAAAGGAGAATTATGAGGCGAGTGAAAATCACTCAGCCTCATAGTTCTAGCCGACCTGTGACAATGAAACTGTCACAGGTCGGCTCAATAGATCGGGAAGTGAGCTAACACATACCGTTGCTCGCTCACTTCTCGATCCTGTCCCTGCAGAGATTTCCCCCCTCCCCTGTCCGATCCTCCAGCGCTGACTGGCGGAACGGATGGGGGAGGGGCTGGTACGCCCCCTCACGCAGCTGGGTCGATCCAGACAGTAATGTTGGGATCTGTCCCGGCTGCGGCGTCTCAGTATTGTGGTATACTGAGCTTTGGGGGACGGGAGGATGCTAGTTTGTGTCCTCCCGTTACCCTTAGGAGAACTATGGGGAAAAGCCCTGACTCCATAGTTCTCTAAGATTTTTTGGTATCCATGTCAACTCTTCTACTTTTAACTCTCTATGTCCCCCACCGCCTCCACCCACTACCTCACTCACTGCCCAGGATATTGCCATTTATTTTAAAAACAAAATAGATACAGTTCGGGCTCAGATCGCCACTGTCCAGTCATCTTCCCCTATTAATGTGCCAGACCCACCATCACACTTGTTACTTTCCATTTTGATCGGACCAGACCACAGGCCGCCTGAGCCACCACCTTGCTTATAACAGCCTTCTCGATCCCTTACAGTCAGGCTTTCACCCCCTACACTCCACTGAAACCGCCCTCCTAAAACTCACTAATGACTTACTAACAGCTAAAAACATTGGCCACTACTCCTTACTTGCTATTAGACCTTTCTGCTGCTTTTGACACTGTTGACTACCTGCTCCTCCTCAAAAAACTTCACTCGCTTGGCCTACAAGACTCTCCTCCTACAAGTTCTCCTCCTACCTATCTAAGCGCTCCTTTAGTGTCACCTACAAATCAAACTCCTCCCCTCCTCTTCCTCTTTCTGTAGGGGTCCCCCAAAGCTTTGTCCTTGGGCCCCTTCTCTATCTACACCTCCTCCTTCGGTCACTTAATAACCTCACATGGCTTCCAATGCCATTTCTATGCCGATAACACTTGCATATATCTTTCTACTTCACAACTCCCCCCCTCAGTGTCCTTGGTCCTTGCGTGTCACTAATCTACTAACTGACATATCAGTCTGGGTGTCACAACACTTTTTAAAACTGAACCTTTCAATGATAATGATAACATGATATTTCCTCCCGCCCGTGCACCTTCCCCCAACTTTTCCCTTGAGATTGATAACACAACTATCCCCCCATGCCAAGGTGCTATGTGTCATCTGTGACTCAGACTTCACCTTTCTTACCCACATCCAATCACTATCCAAATCCTGCTGCCTTCACCTTCGTAACATCTCCAAAATATGCCCCTTCCTCACCAATAAAACCACAAAATTACTAATTCACTCACTTGTTATCTCTTGTCTTGACTATTGCAACTCCCCCCTTTATTGGCCTACCACTACACAGGCTATCCCCCCTTCAGTCTATTATGATTGCAGCTGCTAGACTGATCCATCTAACCAAACGCTAGGTGTCTGCAACCCCCCTCTGTCGATCCCTGCACTGGCTTCCAGTAGCCCAAAGGATAAAATTCAGAATATTAACAACGACTTACAAAGCCATCCACAACTTTGCCCCCGGCTATATCTCAAACCTTGAATCAAAGTATCACCCTAATCGTCCCCTCTGGTCTTCCAAAGACCTCCTGCTTTCCAGCTCCCTCATCAACTCCTCCCATGCTCGCCTCCAGGACTTCTCTAGAGTCTTTCCCATGCTCTGGAATGTTTTACTCCAACCTGTCCGCTTATCTCCCACTCTGACTGCCTTTAGGCGATCCCTTAAGACTCATCTCTTCAGACCACTCAACCATCACATTCTCAAACAATTCATCCCCACACAGATACTTCCTCATGTATCACTTGCCCCTCCCTTTTAGATCATAAGCACTCATGGGCAGGGCTCTCCTTACCATCTTGTCTTGAATTGTATTGTGATTGTATTGTAAAGCGCTGCACAAACTGTTGGCGCTATATAAATTCTGTATAATAATAAAAGTATTATTATTATTAAGTATCACAACAAAGTGTAACACATTCTTTTATTTCCTCAGTAAAATTCGTGAACAGCTAGGCATGAAGCCATTACCAAGAGACAAATTTTCTCTTTTTGCTTCTCCACTGGAATCAGATGCAGGAAGGAAGAAAAAGGTATTGAATTATATTTGTGTTATTTTATAACCTTTTCATATGGATCATTTGGATTACTATACATCATCACAGTTGCACTTTAATATTAAATAGCAGCACTGGGTCACTTTGCTATACATTTGCCTAAACGTTATTCCATATTAGTAATAGATTTGCAATAACCTCACTTCATACCATCAAGCTTCATTCAGAATGAGTATGAAAAAACATTTGCCCATAATTCATTGACACAACTTAAACATAGACTTGCAATGATTTCATGAAATTCACATTCACAGATTCACATGAAATTAAATTAAGAGGTAGTAAATATCACAGGTAATTATAACCTATATCACTGAGTTAAGGGGTGAAACTAGAAAGGCCAGCCCTGTGCAGATATACGGAATGGGTTATGAATAACAAGTTTAATGTGGAGGTTAGAAGGGATTACTGCAATGTTTTGTTTCTAGTTTGTCAGTCTTGTAACATGTGAGAATTGTGGTTTGTTGTTTGAAATTAATAAATATTTATACAACAGACTTGCACAGATGTACTTTTAAAAATGTAGGGTAAGCTGCTTTTGGGTAGGTGTGTTTTGAACCTGGAAAGAGGAGAATTTTAAGTGAGCCACAGGGCAGATGGGATTTACTCCTGGGGGATGGGCAGACAGAGGTATGAGTGAGTGGTTGTTAGGAGGGACACTGTCCTCCACAAGTGTCTTATTAAACAAAAACACTGTAGACAAGGTTGAACTCAGCTCAACTCAACTGGTACTCTTTAGACATGGCCTGCAGGTCAAATAATGTGATATGCCCTATTTATGCAGGGACAGTAATACAACCAGTTAGCAGCTTCTGAGATGCTGTGATTGGATAGTTTGTGGCAGTGTCCAGTGCAAAGCTCCAAAGCATGGCATGCAGAGGAGACTGGCTGCTATTCAACAGGCATTGAGCTGGGATACAGCTTATTATCCTCCATTCAATGAGAGATCGGAAGAGCTGCTGCAGTGCATGTTGCAGGTAGGTGACGAGTGTAACTGTGGCCTTACCAGTGCTCCACATGGTTTTAATGGCCTGTAGATTGTCAGTTTGCCAGCTACATCATCCACATGATGGCACATGTAACTGTTTTATTCTTTCCACCTCCCCTCAAACTGTACTACCACCAGCTTCCTGAGCAGGCAGTAAGCAGGCAGGTAGAGCTTATCTACCTGCTTACTGCCAGATTTCAATACTAACAGGTGTTATTACAAAGAATTGTAAGGGTTACCCCTTAAAATTAATAGAATGACAGTAATGTGATACTGCTTGCAGCATTTTCGCACCGGACCACAGACACAATATGCCTTGCAATCCCGTGCGGGCGATCGCATTGCGACTGGATGGCGTGGCTAAAGTGCTATTCACTACAATGGCCCGCCCCCTCCTGCCCTACTAAAAAGTGAGCCGGCCGCAATGCGAGGCAGTGCGTTCTGGCCAGAATCGGGCCAAAACGCACTGCAACTGGTGTGAATGGGCACTGAGGACAGGAGGATCATGTCTGTAGAGCCTACAGCTAAACCCCACTACTACGATCACATTGAAAAGTAATCACCTGCCAGCAAATGTTTTAGTTAACTCTACTGTTAACCAATTACACTACATTAATCCTCCTTACTCCAAATTGCAGAGTCCTGACCGTTCTGTCCTGACCGTACTAGCCAGTATAATTGCTAGAGGTGCACCAAAATGAAAATTTCAAAACCAAAATGAAAAAAAATGTCACGCCGAAACCAAAAATGTTTTTTATTCTAACTTTTTTTCAAATTTTTTTAAATATTGATAACATGAGGACAGAGTATGTTTACTATATCCACAATCATGAATGAACAGGACGGGATGTAGATCACTTCCCATTAATTTATAATTGAAGATATAGTAAATACACTCTGTCCTCAATTCTTTACAAACACTAAGCGATCACTGATCGTTGAGTGTTTTTACTCGCTCTCCTTAATGACTCTTTTGTCACAGGAGGCTAAGCGAGCGGAGCTCAGCCTCCTGTGACAGCACTGGCTGTCTCCGCCCACACCACTCTCCCGATCTATGACAGGAGGCCGACGTCAGCGGGTAGGAGAGAATGCATGGATGCGCCGTTATTTCGGCCAGAAAATGGCACTTTCTGCATTTTGCCAAAAGTGCCATTTTCGGACGATATATCGGTGCATCCCTAATAATTACTTACCATAAGCTTACCATACCTGATACAATCTGATTGTAGACTCCCTTGGATCTACCAGCAACAAGATAGTACATGTGGCTAGTTGGATACAGATTCAAAGGATTGTTCAGATAAACCCTCAAAGAACAGAGGTTTGTTTGTTTGTTATGAGATTCTACAGAAATTGTATAATCGGATCGCCATGGGTATGTGCAGCTTAAAGACACTTTGTCATCAAAGCCAGAGGGACAGAATATTTCATTTAGAAGCACTTGTTCCCATTGTCTCTGCTAGATAATCATTGGTATACTTTGCAAAGAATCTTTTGAGTACCACAATAAGACACAATGGCAGCCACGGGACTATAGTATAGTAAGATATAGTGCACAGGCATTTTTACATTCAGTAATTACTTGGGACCTTCTATTTTCCATAATGCCTGCTGTTTTGATACAGTTAATTAGCGTACCAAAATTCTTTTGAGTCAAATACAGTTGCCTTATAGTAGGAGATGCGACAATACTAGATTTCAGGGGAAGGAGATAACGCAGAAGGAGAATCCGTATTATTACTTTACAGATGCAGTAAGTGAATATTTATTAATCCATGCAATCTCATGTGTTTGTAATAGCTGTTGGATTTTAATTCTAATTTTGAAATAGTTCTTCCAGTAATACCAGTGACTTAAATGAAATGCAATGTGTGTGCGGGCACCATCAGAGCATCATTGCAGCTTTGTAATGAAACTTCATATTTTCTAACATTGTTGCTACTGTTTTAGTGTTAATAATCCTCTAACATTCCATTTGTGTCTCATCAGAATAACGTCCTTAATGCAATTTTGCTGCTGCTCAAGGACCTGGACACAGAAGGTTTGGAAATTGTTCAGAGAACCGCAGGGAATAGGATTCATCAGCTACAGAGAAAAGAACTCCAGGAGGAGAGATAAATGTGTCAAGGAGGCAGCTGCATGTACTACCTGCAACTTTAGCATTCCAATGACAAACTGCAATCTAGACCATAATCGCACTATACATACATTTTTTTTGATGAATGCTGAAGTCAAGAGGAACAAATCGAGCAAAATTAGCTGTGTGAGGCATTTAATTCTGCAAAATTAGTGATGAAAACTATGTTACAATTTAGGAACATATCATATTTATCATCGTGCCCTCTAAACAGTTTGAATAGAATAAGACATGTATGCGTCTAACGAGCTAAGGTTCTGGTTTTTGTTGAGAAAAATAAATGTATCCATTTTTTAGCATATTCTGAAGCTGCATTCATAAATGTGCCTAGTATCTGGCAGGTTCATTGCTTATTCATAAATGCTGCCTGATGTAAAAACGGAAGAGTTTTCTTATACAATTAAACACGGTCTCAATTGTGATACTTGAATAAAAAAGACCAGATTGGTTTAAAAAAGTAAAGACTACGGTATTGCCTGTATTGTAAAGAAGAAACATGTTTAAAAAAAACTGCACATCAGCGATGCTAGATATATAATGATATGTCCTGTTTCCTCTCCTAGCTGCAAGGAATAAAAACATCTGTTCTAAGTAATACAGCTCTGCAGTAGTTTTTATGCCCTGAATTAAAAAAACAAACAAACCTGCCACTATATATCACAGTGTGAATTAAACCCTAGTGTGTAAACCAGACCAATAAACTTTTCTTATTTGGTCCCTTTTAGTATGTTAAATATACAATTGAACGCATTTTGTTAAAGCTGCTTGCTTAGTACAAATGAAAAAAACTGTTAATTATGCCAGAAATCTTGTCAGCTGATATCTACCGGTGCTCTGCCTGTTCTGTCAGTTACATTGCTGCTAGATGTCTCTGAAGACTACAGAGCCCATCTACTCAGAGGAGAGGGTAAGTGTTTGTAGTCCTGTACTAGAGTGACAATGCTTTTCTCCATAGATACAGTATGGGATGAGTGAGCGTTGCCATCTTTAGATAGGAAGTGTGTTACTGGCAGGATCACCAGGTGACAATAAAATGGAAAACAGCCTAAAAAAAAGAAAAATGCAGTCACCACATGTAAGGATATGTAAGCTGCAATGTATACAATTTTATTTTTTGGGTCTAGATAAGCTTTAAATCCAAGTTCCAGTGCATGCTGCCACATATGGCTTTGAAAGTCAGCTGTAAAGCTAAGCCTCGTCTTTCTATGCACAATGCCATTGCAGAATCCATAATATGTAGTTGCTTTGACTGCAGTGTAAAGCAAGAGTCTTGCATTTGGTGGCAAAGTTAACATACTCCATGTTCTCACTTCAGCCAAGAAAGGCTCTTAGTTCTGTACTTGACACGTGAGATTGTTTCTGATGACATTGGGATTTTCCATTAGCTAGTAAGGCTTTTACTGATAGCATCAAGCTATCTCTGCTGCAAGGTGGAAGAACATGGGGATAGAGGGTTGGGTCAGGTTCCTCCTGACTTAAAGTGCATTTCCACTTTCACATAGCATAACTTAAAAAATATTTTAAAAAGTTGCTGCTCAGTTTAGGTGCTTTTTACTTGTTTTCCAACTTCCCCCTATGTAATGTTATGGAGGGGGGAGGAAAGTAATTTACCCTGTCTGTTCTGTCAGGCAGATATGATCAGTGGTAAGCTAGATTTCAACAGTCTGTTTTAACAGAGGGTTAAGGATCTCAGGGTATTGCATGTTTATGAGGAGAAACTCACTCTGTCCCTAGTTTGTTCCTCCTGAAATTGTTCAGAAAGGTTTGCAGTCCTGTGTAAAATCCTGAAACAACTAGAATGTTAAGATTTATTTTAATTACTATTATTTTTAGGTATGCTGTGTGAAAGAGAACATATACATATAGTGGAGTTTATAGTGGAATTTGGCTTCGAACGTGAAAAAAAAGTGTAAAACAAAAACCCCCCCCCC